TGGGAGTTGAAGTCCACTCATCTTAAAGTTGCCAAGCTTGAGAAACAGTGAATTAGAGAGCTGGTGATAGAGAAGTCAAGCCTTGCAATAACGTAGCTCTGGGTAGAGATCCGGATTTGAAGGGCAAAAGATGGGTCAGATACCTGCCAGGAACAACTCAAGGCAGCCACACCTTTTCCTAGGATTGAACGGCTGCTCCTCTGCTACCACCATGCATGCTGAGAGAAAAAAGGTGCATTTGGTTTAAGATGTTCCCAACAGGAGCTACATGGATGTTTGTGGGCGTTCTGAATCAAATTTGTCAATCTGGAATATTGCCCGGTTTGTTTACGTTCTCTAGACACAGCTGGGGACTTGGACATTTTTTGTATGGTCAGGCACAGAAGTCAAAGATGGGTCCAGGGTCACTGAAGGATAATGTATATCTTAAGCCAGGGGTGTCAGACTCTTTCTGGGCTGATGGTGGCACTTGCCCTTTTGAAGATGTACCAGGGGACAGTCCCCATCAATAGCTAGTGTGGTCAAGGCCAAAACCAAATGTCCCCTTGTTTACCTCTGAATGGGGTTAAAATTCAGTATAGCTGACTGTATTACCATGGAAGTTTTCAGCAAAATTCCTCTCCGCTTGCCTGTTGACCCAGTTTTCCCTTTGGTTGCTTTACATGCTATAATCTGGTACCGACTTTGGGATTCCTTGGGCCACACCAGGATTTTCAGAGACTCTGGGCAACCTTGCCTCTTCCAGTGTGAGCACCTGCGCCTTAAGCGCTGAACAGATGGGAAATGAAAAGAGAGAGTCGTCTGTTGACTGGGACTGGGGAATTCTGTGGCCCTTCAGCTGCTTTGGGTTCCAGCACCCATCAGAACCACCCAATATGGCCAAGGATGCCTGGAGTATTAGACTGTAGGAATGTCAGTATGTGAGGATATGTGCCCAAGTACAACATAAGACTGGTCAGACCTTGATTTTTCTATCTTTTTTTTCTTTTTACTTCCCCACAATGCTGCTTCCTTTCACACAGGCAGTTTTAGCTTATCCTTATCATCTCTCCTTGGGACCAAGATGGTTCCCAGCCTTGAAAAAGGGTCACCCAGTGGTAACCCTACCAATTTCATTTTCACCTGTAATCATGTGAAATGCATCTGCCAGGTAATCTTGGATAATATCAACCACAGCTTGATCTGGGGCTATGAAATTTCGTCATGAGATTTTAAGTAAACCGGTTTAGAGATCTTCCTCAGCTTCTCCTGATGTCGAAAGACACGGCTTTGTTGCAGTGCGAGACCCATGGGTGGCAAATGAATCTATATGTAAGAAGAAAAGAAACTCACTAAAAAAATTACTCTGAAAAACATACAGGCCTTATTCATATATCATGCTTAATCATGGTTTGCCTTCTCCTTGAATGATCTACAGTGGGCTGAATTCACCCAGTGGTAAGCAAGCTATGATTGCAAACTCTGGTGACTGGGTTTGCACAACACACTAAACCATTAACCAAATTATCCATATTATAGTTTAATTCATCTATCATATCAGCCTACTGGTGAGAGCATTGGATCTATGGTTTTGTAAACATGAATTTGAGTCCCTATTTTTATTAACATAAAAGCTCACTTCTTACAGTGGACCAACCCATGCTTGCAGTAACCATGAAATTCAAAATGTTATTTGAGTTTCCAGATATATAGGAAACACTATTTGCCTGCTTTCACTTCTTATTTGTACCAGTTCTTTCTTTCTATGCCTAGCGGAGCAGTGGATATAACCATAATATGTTGGTTCTGGCCTCATATCAAGCCTTGCAACATTTTCAAACTATGGTTCTGGCTTGTTTGATGGCTAAGGATAGATAATTAACTGATTTGATGCTTAAACATCTGGGGAATTAGTACTCCAGAGAAATAACATCTTGATTTGTCTGTCCTGCTCAAAAGCATTCAGGTGATTCTGCTGGAAAAGGGAGGGCCCTTTGAAAACCGTCAATAGTAGCCCCAGTTCTGTCCCATCTGGGCATAATATCAATTACCTCTGCAGACTACAGGTAGTCCTCATTTAGCAACTGCCCCATTTAGCAACTGTTCACAGTTACAACAGTGATGAAAAAGTAACTTTGCAACCAATCCTTGCATTTATTACCTTCTAGGTCCGTAAAGCAGTATTTCTCAATCTCAGCAACTTTAAGATGTATGGACCAACTCCCAGAATTCCCCAGCTAGCATGGCTGGCTGGGGAATTCTGGGAGTTGAAGTCCATATACCTTAAAGTTACTGAGATTGAGAAACACTGCTGTAGAGCAAAGTTGAAGTCAGATCATAAGCACAGGCATAGTTTCACTTAGCGACTGCTTTGCTTAATGACTGAGTTGCCAGCCCCAATTTTGGTTGCTATACAAGGACTACCTGTATCATCAACACAGAGAATTCTCCTGACTGAGAACAACAGATTCACATCAAATAGCTGCTTCCTACTTACAGGCCTTGGATATGGGTTGTGATAGTGAAGTCCTAGTTCTATTCTTGCCTTGCACTCTTCTATGCATTGTTTAATCAGCTCAGGATCTGTTAGCTGGTCTTGCAAACAAGACAGAAAAAAAAAAGGAGAAAAAAGTTAGAACAGAAAGTGCAAAGGTTCTGGGAATTGACAGGTAAGTTAAAACTATTTTCCAAATTACCTTGTGAGCTCCTCCCCAGAAAGACATTCAAAGAAAAGACCCTGACCTGTTTTATCACTATGCTAAAACCATGGTGTATAATTGTCCACAGTTTATTGAATATACGACAATTGGTTGGTTCATGCAATATGTGGACTATAAACCATGGTTTGCAAGTGACAGTTGGCGGGATTGCCCACACAGACTGATTGTTCCACTCAAAATCCCTTGCTTGTGAATGTGAATGGGAGAGGATTCTTGCATTCATTTTATTTTCTATTTATTTGTCCAATTAATTTATACCTTGCTTTTTTTACCCATAGGAAAATACTAAGATAGATTGGCTTGAGGATACATGGGGGCAACAAGCCAATAACATGAATTATGTAATTTCTGTCAGTTGCATGATGTAACTGTGGCAAATGACATAATTCATATTATTTGCAGGGGGATAGCATGATGTGTGTGGTGTCATCATGGCTTGTAATGGGCATCTAGGCTTACACATTGTGCTAAAGTATAATATAGCTTTCTTAGTAAAAATAAGCCATTATAGTTTGGTCCCAGGCCTGGGATTGATGTTTATTATTTGTTCAATGGCCCCTGTTTTGTGTTGTTGTTTTTGCTGTCTATTAGATTATTTTAGCTTGGGTGATTCAATGTTTTTAGCTGTTTTTATGTTTTTCCTAGTTTTGTATGCTGCTCAGAGTCTGCTGCAGTTGGGTGGCCAATAAATTTTAATAAGTAAATAAATAAATAAATAAATCAAGCTGTCAGGTACTTTGGTGTCTGCCTAAATCAGATGTAACTCTTTTCCAGTGGTGATCCTGATAATCACTTTCCCTAAATTTATTGAGAAGAAGACATTGGGGGTTACAAGAATTCCAGC